CTTTCCAATAACCTTGAGGGGCAATGGATGACAGTTAAGTGTTCTGGTGTTCTGTCATTACAAATTACTTCAAAACTAATTTAGAAATAGCATAGTCTGATAGCCCAAAGAGATACTAGTTTCTCATTTAATCCAGATAGTGCACTAGATTAACCGAGTCACTAAATCCATTAATGACGTAGATTATTTTTCAAATCACAAAAAAATCATAGCTGTAGACTGTAGACTGTGTGGTTTTCCCCTGTAAAATACTTGCATTTGATCAACACGGATAAGGACAAAGCCTTTTCCAGAAGGGAATATTGACTCCGCAAGTCTCTAAACCTCATGTGCTCTCTCCAAAGCACCTGAGCAGCACACTTTCCAGCAGCACTGAGAATGCACCCACCAAGCAAAAACCTGTCCCTTTGCAGTGTAGTATACAGTGACCTCATAATTGCCTAAATTTCAGGAGTATAGTGCTAAATTGCCAGTGAGAATTTGGGAAGTCCTGCAATCTGGAAAATCAGACAAAGAGTGCAATATTTAACCATGTGCCTAAGACACAGTTACAAAGGGAAATCCATAAAATCTTACTTCTATGACCTTGATCAAATTAGGATTTTTAAAGATATAAAGTGGACAATAGCAGCATCAAAAATCTGACTTTATAGCTTCAGGAGTCTGTGCAAACAACCTCTTTTTACTCACAAATGACAACAGATTAGCTTTCAGCAGATTAGATAGGAAGTCTGTGTGGCACATCATGTCACATTATAATGAGGAAGGGAGGTAGGAGAATTTTGGAACAGAGAGAGAAAGTTGGTTTTGGTTTTCTGACATAAACCTTTACAACAGAGTGTCATGCCTTTCCATTTGTCTGGTAAAGACTTGTGGTAAAGACCACGGGGAAATGCAAATAGAGGAAGTAACATCTGCCAAACACTGTTTTAAAATCTCAGCACCATCAATACACAGAACTCGCTGTGCTCTCGTGTTCAGTGGTACAGTATATGCTGAACTTTCACTGAAAACAGCAAAAAAACCAACTTTTATTTTTTTTATCTTCAGTATATGTTTTTGTCTGTATTTTGCTTTTCATTGAATCACACAGGCATGAAGTTACATGTTTGTTTGGGTCTTCCGCTCAGGAGTTTTTCTCATACATACACCTAAAGTTATATTATAGTACTCTGTCATAGGAAGCGCTTCAAAGTACACACAACATGCAAATAGTTTCCATTCCTCACGGTTTAGAGCCTGAGTTAGCTTCAAATCATTGGAGAAGTAGAGACAAGGTATGCTAGGATTATGTCATGATGACAAAGTACAGGTATTTCTAGCATGGAATGCAGATAAGCCATTCCAGACATGTACTAGTCAAATTTCTGTATGACAGTTATTTGTTTTGTTTTCATTTTCGGGTTTATTTAGTATTCCAAGTTCACGCAATGACGAGCCTTTAAACCGAGATTCCAGGTCTGGTTGGCAAGAGATTTAGTATAGATATAACCTGGGGGAAATTCCATATTTAAGGAAATGCATTCTTGGTGTGTGTCTGAAGAAGTGCAAATGTTGAGGATGTGAGAGAGAGAGGAGCAGGCAGGAGCATTGTGCAGTACATTGCCTCCTTCCGTTCTCACTTTGATCATGCTCACCGCAGTTACGCTGCACTGCCAATGGCAAGTGAGACTGTCTCACTTGACCTGACAAGAGCAAGCATAGTTTTGCCTGCAGGTGACTAAGACTCTTTCTCCAGTAATGAAGTTTCTTATATCAACTCTTAAGCACCACGCAAAAAAGCAGAATAATCCCTCTGAGTTCAGCTACAACCTTTCTTGTGGGATTTGCTCATAGGCTTCCTATAGCAACATATCCAAGTCCCAGTTAGCCTTAAGCATGCTTACTTAGAGAGCCAATAGTACATGAAACAGACTGTTAAAGTGCATAGTTACTACGTAATAACAGTATAAGTTCTAACTCATTGAAACCACAGAGCACCCCCATCAGATGATCAGTGCTTGCCAAGCTGAATGACATGGGTTTTCTAGAACTGAGAGGGTAACTTTGGGATAGCTGAAAATGGCTAGACAGCTCAAATCAGAGACTGCATTTTGCCTCCTGCATTCAGCATAAAAAAAGAATATTTCCTTTTCTTTGTAGCACACCCCAAAATACTTCAGATTATAATCAGAAAGATTGGCAATTCTTTCTTTCAGCTGAATAGATGCATGGCAAAAATTCCAGTTCTGTATTCTTCTAAGCCTCATTTTTTGCTCTCAGGATGTGTCATGCTCTTACCACTGAAAAGAGTTGCTTTTCTGTGATACCCAGAGAGCAGAGGGAGTAGTTAAATACTGACTGCTGCATTTCATACTGTTTATGAAGATGTCTATGAAAATTATTTCCCATTATCAAAAAGATGCAGTGTCCAAAAGGGTTATTCTCTTTATAAGTTCACATTGCTGGAAATACTAAGGGTTCTCTCTTCTCCTGGACAAACAGCCTCTGTAAGGTCACACCACCCTCTAGACATCACATAATGACAAAGACATTTTTGGATGATGATGTGTAAGTGTTCATTACACACTCTCTACATTGTTTATGCTTTCTCTGTTCCCATCACTATCCTGAGAAGTTTATTAGTAATACAGGATAGAATATTATAAGCATCAAAATATTATGTAGAAGACATAAGAAGTCCTTGTGATCTCTCCCGAAGGAGACATGGAAGACCTGCTTATCTCTTCATGCTTATTTTTTTTTAGTGTGACTTCTGTGAGACTACATGGCAATGTTTATATAAAACTGTTCTTCCAGCAACATGTAGCCATTTCGTTCTATGATTTGGCATCCTGAAAGGTTTCATCCTATTCCTGTGAAATCTGCTTGCACGAATCATCTATTTTGTGGAAACCCTGTTTATATTCCTTGCCAGGTTTTTGCATGGCAGTAACAATTAATTGATGTGGTTGTGAAGGACCAGAAGGACCATTTTATCAAGGGACTGCTTAATGTTCTGCTCTCACACCATAAATTTAGTGAAAATTATTCAAGCTTCTCACAAATGTAATAATAAAGTTTCACCGTGGCTCTGTAAACTGCATTCTTCACTATTCTGTTTCTACAAATTGAAAAAGATTTTAAAATAACACATGATTCTGGAGAAAAAGTAAATGGTTCACTTTTGAAATAACATGACAATATTTTAATAAAAAAGGTCTGAAAGTCTGAAACTCAAATAAACACCTATGCAAAAGGAATCATACCCATACCTAATGTGAACAGAGAAATGAAAAAAATGAAACGGAATATAATTTTAAACGAATGACCATATTTATTTTCTATGAAAAACAGAGACTACATCAACATTTAAAATATAAATATCAAAATTATTGCACAGTTAGCCAACTAGCTCTGTTTGGCAGCAATATTTTACAACATCATTGTGCAATCAGATGCTCTGGCAGATTAAACTCCACAAAACCCATGATGTGTACCTTTTCTGTTTACATCATAAATCATCCTACAACAGTAAGATAATTGTTCTGTCATATGTATAAAATATCATACAGTAATACAATACATGCTTTATGAAAGCTGGAAAGAAGGAAAGAGAGAATGTCTCTTAATGCTTCCCTTACACCTTTGACTCAAACAAATTTAAGCAACAGATATTTACCCCTCCATTTGCAGTCATTTAAAATAGGCACTTCTAAGTATACATACAGATGCACATATATTAAGAGGATTTGTTATAAATAGCTATTGCTTTTGTAGGCAGCTTCAAATATACAATCTTCTGTACATCTCTGAAAAATTAACGTCCCAGTTTAGTCTATAAAAAAATAAGAGTTCATCCACAAGTAAACATCCTTAATTAGCATGCGACTCCATGAATGTCCCAAAGAGTTTGTCCCAGTGGGTGAAGTAAGGAGCATAGTTTGATTTGAACTTCAGATGATGGAGATCATGATGCGGCGCTCCTCCATACAAACCAAAAGGCACAAGTCGGTGAGTTGACCACGGAAGGTCGTAGCCTGAATGGTCCTCCACTGACAACCAAATATTTACGAGGAAGAAAGTCATTTCTGTCAAAGGATGGCATCCGAGGAGCACTGGGTTGATAGCAGCAAAAAATCCCAGTGAGAGCAATTCCCATACACTGGAATACTGTGTAGTAAGAGCAAACGTTGACACATGCTTATGATGCACCTTGTGGAAGGTCTTGTAGAGCCAAGGCACCTTGTGATGAAGCAAATGCCACAGGAAGTACTCAAAATCAAACAGAAGCAGGCAAGCTCCTACTTCCAGCAGGAGCTCAGGCAGCTCTGGAGCTACCACAGGCAGATTCACTGGTCTCCAGTACCAGTGAAGAAACGTCACCGGGAAGATGAAAACAACGTGGTGATATGCACTTTGAATAATGCAGAGCACCATCATTCCAAGAGTTGGATAGTTCTGCGGCTGGATTTTGTATTTTCTCAAGTTTTGTAGTCTAGTGCTTAAAAAGTCCAGTGCAATATATGGAAGACAGAAAGCCATGTATGCTGTAAAAGAAAACAGCACTGGAAAAAACGGTGACTTGATCAATGGCTCCTTTTCTGTGACAAAGTCCCAAAGAGACTGAAGGCACAACCTGTGCTGCTGTCCCTCCATCGCGTAGCTGAGCAGCACTCTCTCTGGCAGGCTGCAGTTCATGCTGATTGCAGTCTGAGAGCTCTGTAAATCCCGCAAGCCTTTATTCTAGCCTGCTCAAAGGAAAACTCCGCCCTCACTTAGTAATACGCAGCTTTAAAGTGGAAGTTCCCTTTCCTGTTACACAGAAGTGGCACAACGCTTTACAATCTCAGAACAGAATTAGCTGGCAAGGGTAATCACTGAAGCTCTACAGGAGACCTGCATGTTAGGAAAAATAATCAGAAATGCAGAACTCTTAACACACTGGAATTCAGAGAAATAAGGTAGGAACATTTTCCACTCCACTTAGTGCACACACTTGAAAAACTGCTGTCTCTTACTAATTTTAAATTGTGTCATCCTTTGTTATCCTTTTGCCTTTATAGGTAAGCAAACACAACCTACCGCTGATTTTTTAATGTGACTGGTGTCAAAGATGCACGTGTACTAAACCCTGGCTCTGACCTGTGGATGTTATGTGGTTAATGGATTTGTGCAAACACACAGCCTTTGGGTATACAACAGGCTAAGTCAACACCTTAAGGAGACCTACGCTATGCTTCCAGTCTGAATGTGGTGGCTGTGACTTATCTGCATACAATTTTGAGGTCATGTTCTCCTTTATGCTCCTGTGTCTACCTGACATGGCAAAATCCACTTGACTTGACTAGACACAAAATTGAGCCAACAGCTTTTGGAGAACAAAATATCCCCCAGTTGCTGGGAAGAATACAAGGTGAAATCTCATTATTCTTCCAGACAGATACTTAGTGACAAGTATCATTGCATTATTACAATATTAACTCCACATCTCAACATCTCTTTGAGCAATGTGATATGGAAATCATCCTTTGACCAAGTATCAATCTAACTTACGCAGTTTAAAGATCCACCAGCTAGATCTCTGTCCTTTAAAGATCTTCTTTTGACCATAGGCAAGCACGCACCAGACAGCAGCTAGCAGGCTTGACTCACAACATTTCTAATTTGCTAAAAGTATTCTAGGAGTAAATGATGGGAGGTTTTGATTTATCCACTGAGACATTACTTATTTTGCGCTTTTAGAAAAAGACAAAGCTTTGAAAATGTAGGGA